GCTTCATTTCGACTCCATTTGCTTGAGTGCAAAGCCAAAAAAAATGCCACTGTCCCAATACTTAGCAGCTGCACCGTACAGAACTACAACCCCAGTGATAATCGTGGAATTGAATCAGCCTCTCTGTGCCAATGTCTCAAAACTAAATTGCACATGTGGAGCCGCACAGAGATGGTATTTGGCAGCGCTTCCATTTAGAAAACTTGTATCCAAGGCCAGCATACAAACACGCACCGTCGCACTGAGAATAAAAGCGAAGGCATGAAACAAGAGAAACATCATCTGATGGATCATCCTTTTACAGTTTCAAACACCCAGGTTCTGGTTTGGGTGGAAGTTACAGCATGCAGTGTCTTATGGTTGAACGTATGGTGGTGAATATGTAATGACATACACACTCAACATGCATTTATTATGAGGTGAGGCATTTCATGGCACAAAAGATGATACTCACAACTGAACATAAATAAGTGGTTTAAAAACCTGCCCTTTTGTAAGCATATGATCTCAACATCCCTATACCACTTTGTTTCATTTTTAATGGACATATTTATTGTGCATCAAATATAATTTATGCCTGTGCGTCGAGCCGAAGAGAATTGGAGCTTTCGATGGAAGTGATGTTAGACTGATTACCTGTTTTACATTATTTTGTGTAAGCAATAATTAAGCCACCAAAAAAGTGTAGGTGATTATATACACTGCAGACCAGGGCTGCACAATTAATGGAAATGTGATCGAAATCATTATTTGGGCTAGAACAATATGCAAATAGCAGGAAGCTTAACATTTAGTTATAGGCAAAATATGTAAATAATATTCTAAATTAAGTATTTTGGAGCTGTATAGATGTCGTAGCCTACAAATCGTATTCTTCAGACTTAATTCCATATATTTATTTACAAAAATCACACCATGATGATTTTAATATATTTTCCAAAATTATTAATCATATCGCTATTTCAATATCAGTAAATTAAACAAATTTAAGCTCTTTCTTCCAAATTGTGCAGCCCTACTTCATACATTCTTTGTTTTGTGACCAAACAACATCACGGTTGAAATCCAACACTTGTCAAGTCATCACATTAGGAGGTGGGATGGGATCTATTCTGGTTCTCCTGTAAGAGAAAGGTCAGAAAGAGTGACACTCCAAACTGCTTGTATCAAAGCTATTATTCCCCACGAGTAAATAGGGTGGGCGGAACAATAACATAAAGAAAAGAAATTGAGAAATTCATCCAAAGCTGGAAGAATAATGAAAGCCAAGAACACTTATACCTCATTCACACCAACGCAACTCCGGTTCAAGCTCCGTGCTAGAGCTTTTCAGGTTCAGATCCGGTTCTTCGGTTTAGCTCCGGCTCTTTTCACACTGCCCAGAGTCCGACTGGTGCTGCGTCATGCGTCATCGTTTGCGTCATGACGTAACCGTTTGCGTGCCTGCTTCATAAAGCCAAACCGCGCGGAAACCCCTCACAGCTGACACCGACAACAACAACAATGGCCGATTGTGCTCCAGCTTCCTCTGTACCTCTTCAGAAGACCAGATTCCCAGTAGGTAGCTGGTCTCTTCAGTGGACCACTGCTGCTTGTTAAGTTTCTCCATCGTTCTGTACAAACTGGATAAAACACCGGCTTTTTGTTGTTGTTCAGGAGTTGATCCCGCCCCTGCCCCCGCCTCGACGTAAGCGTGACGTATGCGGTGCTTTTGCTCTAGCCGAACAATTGATTGGTGCTTGAAACGAACCGGATTCCGGAGCTAAGGTGTGAACAGGAAAACCCGGTGCTTTTCAAGCTCCAGCTTCGAACCGGCCCTGAAACACCGTTGGTGTGAATGAGGTATTATTAAGACGGCAATGCACTAGAAAGGCCAAAGAAAGCACACTCTTATGTACTCTCACACACAGGGAAGCAATCTTCAGGAACACGGAGAATGGCAGAGCTTCATCCTGGCCCTCCTGACAGCGCACAGCCACTAGCCTGATGAGATGGCAGAGAGTCAGTGAGCTCTGAAGGCCATTAGATATTTTAGGTGATGGCCTGCTCTCCCTGTCCCCCTGACGTTGTGCTTTCCTCCACTGTAGCGAGGCTCAGGCAGAGGACATGAATGCCATTAGGCGTCAGAGTTAGCCAGGCAGGCGGACACAGGCTGATAAGCGTCTGCTCGCTTTTTAAGCTCCATTGGGCTGCAGAGGAAATTAGGATTTTGAGTTTTTATCCGTCATTTTTTTCTTTACTCTCTCCGGCTTCCTCCGGCTCATTCAGTCTGCTTCTTCTTCACTCACATTCTCTTCTTCACTCACATTCTCTTCTTCACGGCCACTGTTTCACACAAGGTCAGGTGTGGAGTCTCTCCTGCCTCACACCTCCCGTCTGTTCTCCCCTCTCCTCGCTCTGTTTCTCTCCACCTGTACCAACCCCCCCCCCCTCCACCCAGTCGTCTCCATTTTTAGGTTCTCTGTTTCACCTACTTCCTCTCTCACTTCTCGTGTTTCTCTCACTCTTCTGAATGTCTCTCTTTTGTCCCTCAGCTGTCTCCTATTAACCTTGTTTATCGCTCACACCGTCTCCCCATCGAGATCCTTCTCCTCCTCTCTCCTCTTCTCTCACCACTCTGTCTTTGCACTCCCCCTTTCATTCTCTATTCCTGGCACCACGCTCTCTTCACACACTTTCATCCCCACTTCCACACCCACCCCCCCCTCCATCACTTTGGCATTCCCAGACTGTCTCTGCTCTTCCATCCTTCGTGCACACTTCCTCTCTCCTCCTTCCTTCCTTCCTTCCTTCCTGACTCATTTTCCTCTCCACAGACGAAGGGTGGGAAATATGGAAATGTCACCGTGACCGGGAGGGGGATCAGAGAGGACGGCGTTAATATGCCGTCAGCGTGTGTGTGTGTGTGTGTGCACATCATGTGGGTGTTAAAGACATAATGATAGGTGACAGTACTCGGGACGGTGGCATCTGACTACTCGAGGACGCTGAAGAGGACAGTTTGCGTGGGCCTGCGTTTGTTTGGTATCGTTATTCCAATGTCACCTGCAGGCAGCGCTGCTACTGTAAAGTAGAGCAGCGGTGACACAAGGCTTCTGTTCTCCCTCCCCTCCCCACTTTCTCTCCCCCCGTCGCTCCTCCCCGCCTCACAGTCTTACCCTTGAACCGTCTTTTATTCTCTCGTTCCCTTAGTTCCTGCCTCCCTCCACCTCCTGTCTCTCTCTCTCTTCTGTTTTAATGCGACCGATGCTCTCTCAATATTTATACTGACAATTACTATTTCAAATGCCGCCTTGCCTCAGCATTTAGGAAAGGCTGTCGTGTTCAAGCACACGCACGCACACGCCGACTTTTCCTTTCCGTGTCTGCTCTTCTAATGACACGGATTCTCTGAGACTTCAGGGCTGGGACTTAGGGACCATCGTGGAGGACGAAGACGGGTGTGAAGACGTGCTTGTGTGTAATATTCATTTCCCCGGGGCAGTCTGGAGTCTCATAAGGCCAGCCTGTCTCTCATCTGAGCTCTGCAGGATCTGACCTGGGTTGGCTCCCCTGTTATTGCTTCAGAATGACAGACAACAGGCTCTGCCCCCGCATCACAAGCTGTGCACGCGCTCCTGTGTTCATTTAAATGTGCTCACAAGGAAAACCTGAGGCGGAGCAACTTATCTGGCACATAGTGTAATGAACTTTGACATTAGACCATACTCTAAGCAAGATTAGTAATCAAGGGTTTCAATAACCCTTCGTTGTGTTCCCATTCCCCAAGCTAATCTGTTTGAATAGTTAAAATAGATTGACAGAGGCTTGTTGCTCCATCTTTACTAAACACTCCAGGCGTTGGAAAGATCACAGGTCAAGAGATCTGTAATAAAACTGTCATGAGCTTTTGTGTGTGTTCTTGCACAGATATGTATGTGAGCAATAGAGAATAAAAAAAAGCAATCTGTTCCTCTCTCCAGCCCGATGAGGCTCTGGCTCCCACGGGCTGCTTAGTGGTTGTCCAGAGGTTCCTCTGTGGCTACAAGGGGGTTGTTTTGTGGTTGTAAATTGGGCTGGTCCTGTGAGAGCTGGTGTTATTCTAGGCTTGTTTTCCTCCTCTTTCCCGCTCAAGTCTTTCTGCTCCTTCCTCTCTCTTCTCTTCCTCCGTATTGATATCTCAGAACTCCCTTGAGTAGAGAAGCTGAGGTGTTTATTGCTCGTCAAAAGAGAAAGACAGCACTGGCCTTTCCCTCTTATCTACTAGCCCATGGGTTTCATGCGAGTGGGTGTTTTGTATCAGCCCTGCAGATCATATTACTTTCAACACAACAGCTTTGGCTCAGCACAAACGGGTGGAACCAGTTCGGCGAGTAATTGTTTGTCTTTAGGGTAAATTGTGTTTCTCTGGGGCTGTTGTGTGTGTGTGTATCCTGCTGCTGAACACATTGTGCGCACACAGAGCCCTGGCTGCAGACATTTGAAGTTGTGTATCAGTCGGTAATCCACTGTTACTTAAAACAGGTGCCATCTCACACACACTAATGCGCGCTTACTCATACAAGTAATTACATTTTCACAGGGACCTGGATTACACACACACTTATATGCACACACGCGTGGCACTTTCAGTTTCTCTGAGGCACTAAGAAAAGCATATTTATTTTCACCCTTTGCTGTAATACAGGAATGTGTCGGCACAGCAAATGGCCGGCTATAGAACAGCATGAACCATCCCCATGATTTATGACCTATGTGCAAAAGAGAACTGGCTTTTCTTCTCTCTTTTATTCCAGCACACATCTACTTATTTTGTTTTTGTTTCGCTTACTCCTTTCACATGAAAGTCATGGAGAGATATCAGACTCTTGGCCTACTTGCCTATGTTCACTAAAGCTGCCCTCTGTTGTAGCAGACACTTCCACACTGTCCTCATTTATCATCAGGAGGCTTTGTTCTAACACCATTCCCCTGCTCCCTTTCCTCGCCTCCTATCCTAGTTAAGGACAGGACAGACATTAATGTTTCTCTCTCTTCCTCTCCTAGGAGTGTCGGGTCAGCGGGTGAAGGTGGAGCCCGAGGTGTTGTCTTACCCCGGCCAGACAGTCAACCTGCGCTGTGCCTTCACTGATGCCACTGGGATTCAGCTCACAATGGTACGATAGAAACTGTCATGATACAATTTCTTTCTTTTTCAGCTGGGATTTGATTTTTTTCTTTTTACAACCGCACTCACATAAGCTCTAAAATGGGTTTGTGGTATCGAATCAAATAAAAAAATGTCTGATTCATCCCAAAATTGCAGCTCAATGTGCTGACTTGACTCGGTACAATGTGATGAAATAGCTTGGGACTACAATTTTCTGTCACAATTTCAGCTTACACAGCGGCCATTAAGCGAATACACAATGTGGTATTTGAAAATGTGTGTGTATCAACCTCATCCTGCAGGTGTGGGAATCTAAGTCGCACAGATGGAAAACATCAATTCATTGCAATGAGAATAAACATTAAACGATAATACATGTCAATGTGCCTTGTGTACCTATCCCATCATCCCGTAATCTAGCAAATCAAAGCCCACAGAATTCATCCCAAGGCTAGTAATAGGTTTTTATCACATTTAGGCTTAATACTTTATTATGCCGTACAAACAATACTAAGCTTAATTTTGCTTTAGGGGATTGAATATGCTAATGAAACACTTCTTAGTCGCATCTCAATGAAGTGGGAAGTACACAACTGTTTGGTTCCGCTAAGAGTGGCTCAGAGAGAGAGTGCGGCTCCTGAAAGTCACTCCATATTCATACCTGCTCTACTTATTTGATTGGGATGCTGCGAACGCTGCCCTGTGGAGTTCACAGAGACATTTCTTAAAATGCTCTCCAGTGTGTGTTATCAATGGTGTGTTGAATAAGGCCTGATTTTTTTCACTGTACGCATCCTAACTAGGGCTGCACGATTTTGGGAAAAAATCTAATTGCGATCTTTCTGACAAATATTGCGATTCGAATTGCGATATTTGTTTTTAAGCGACCCAACGTAAGTTTATTGTAAAATGCGGCCATAACTCCGGCTAGGAAGGTCGTATCAACGTGCTCCCGTCTCTAGCACCCCCCGCAGCCCGAACTACGAGTGAACGAACTATACTTACATGAAACTTCGGTTGGGTTGCTTTAAAGTCAAGCTTCAGTTTAAGATTCACCCTGTAACAGAAACATGTGATGGAGCATTACTAACCTGACTCAGATGGTTTGTTTCACCAAACCATCTAGGAAAGCTCCATTGGAAGCCATTTGGAAAGGGCAGGCACTTTCAAAAATACTTGGCAGGTGATTGGATCAATCTGTCTATGACCTTCTATCATGGGCCACTTCTGATTGGTTAACAATGGCTGGTACATGTGGAGCACAGCACTTCTGATTGGTGTGGATGACTGACACAGGCTTTGCGATTTGATAATCACATCATTTCAAATTTCGATTTAAAATCGATTAATCTTTCAGCCCTAATCCTAACCACTGAGCCCCTTTAACGCAGGTCACCTGGATCTACGAGCCGAAGGATGGAGAGAGGATCAACATCGCCGTGTTTCTACCCAACTATGATCCCAACTACCCCGACTCACCGGTGAAGGGCAGAGTCAGCTTCGCGCCCAGCCCCCCCAACGTGGTCAGCCCCTCCATCGAGATCAGCAACGTGGGGATGACCGATGAGGGGAAGTACATCTGCGAGTACGCCACCTACCCCAGCGGCAACGAGCAAGGCATCACGCACCTCGTCATGCTGGGTGAGACATGATCTACATAATGTGTATATTGTAGAGCCGATGAAAGGGAGTCAGAGGCGGTGTGTTCAGTATGGAACTCCACACTTTATTATCCATTAATCAAGACAAGGTAAGTACATTTACTGCTACTGCATGTCAAGTTAGCATGAATGAAAACAACCCCGGTACCCTCACTCAGGGGTCCGAGTTGCAACACAATAATCCCAACGGTGAATTGTGTATCATAACGTGTCACCACAATATAAAAATAATAAGACGATCAGAATTCCTTTTATTTGTCCCGCAACAGGGACATTTATGGCATTACAACTGCAAATTACAGTGGAGACAAAGGGTAGATTGATTGGTTATTATATGGCACACAATAGGTAAAAGCAGGGTAAACATAATTAAAATATAAGTAGCTGTATTTCTTACAAAAAACTGCCCATGAAAAAATATTGAAGTTTAAATATTGTAAATAACAATAAAGCGTAAATTGGTTTTATATTGCACTGAGCTGTTATTGCACATCAGAGATATTAAAGTCTTTGTGAGACAAAGTCCAGGATCTGCTGTATCTCTATCCTTGATGTAGCAAAGATCTCCATAAAATATTGCATGAAAATTACAAATAATACCTATAATGATTTTGAAAGCTGTGGGAACTTTTCATAAATGTTCTGGTTGATCTTATTTGAATTGTTTGGCCCCGCAGGTTGTCCCTGATCCCTACAAAGCGGCTCTTTCTGACACAATGCTCTTTTCAATATTTAGCACCACAGTGGCTCATAATTGTACGGTTCTGTCTGTCAAGGCTCGCACCTTTCAATTTTTTGAATAGTCTTCAAATTACACAACAGAAATACAACATATAGATGGATAGAAATATATTGTTTTTTAACATCACAGGCGGTCTTTGAAAAGTGATCAAATAGACAGAGATACACCGAATGGTATTTTTGCATACTGTATAATGCCCATCCTGTATGTTTATCAACGTGTTCGCTTCGGTTCAAACCATCACAGGACTTTAAACACAATCTGATAAATCTTCAATTTAACATTTCTGTTTTATTACATTAAGCCTAAATAGTTTTTTATTTAGGGTAAACACACATGCCCTTGACTAACTGCTCTGATTTGTAGTTTCCCCCAGACTTCTTTACCATGAACTTGATTTATTAGTCGAAGCAGTTTTTAACAGGACGATCTCTCAACCCTCTTACTACATTTTATATCGACTAAAAAAAAGTGTTTTCTGGTCAAAATCCTAGTTCTGTGTTTCATGGTTATTAATTGATAGATTGATACATTTTATTTTCGAACAAGTAAAATAAAAAATAAAAAAACAAATGTTGCAGTGCATAGTCATGTAAGAGAGAAATGACATTTACAACAACAGCATTAGCAACATAAACAGTGCCACATCTAGTGTTCGAAATGGAGTGAGAAGAAGTATAACTTATTTAATCTCACCCCTTTGTCCCTAAATGATTTATTTATAATCTATAATCTGCAATAATTATCATTTTTATGCATCGTTATTATTATTATTATTATTATTATTAATCTGCTTTACTTGTTGATTGACATATATACACATACATACACTGATATACATATATGCACACATACATATACATACTCACACACATACACATAGTCCAACACCTTCCCCATCCCTGTACCTCGAGAAAATAATTTCTCTGTTTCCTCTTGAACTGGTTAATGTCTGGACATCGCTTTAGCTCCACATTCACACTGTTCCATAGTCTCACTCCACAGGCTGAGATACAAAAATATTATTTATTTTCATTTGTTTTTAAGTGGAGTCTTAGAGACTTGTTGAATCAAAATGCATTTATCTTTCCTTGAATCTGTTACCAATCTGTATGTACCAGGTGTTTGCATGTTAACCTTGCTTACTATGTCCCAAAGGTAGCATGCAGGTTAAAAGCATGTCCAGCTAGGCTTGATTGCTATTATAAGTGGTATTGTCAGATCAATTGTGTTCTTGTTAATGCAATGGAACCATTGGTCTAACCTTGGCCCGGCACTAGTGCCTCCGCTGTCTCTCTCTCTACAGGCATCATGCCTCCCTGCCTCCCCCGAGGCTCCTTATTGATCTGGCTGCTTGTCATGCCGGCTGTCAGCTCCTGTCCTGCTCTCCCCTGTGATCCCTCACTCCTATCATGGAGGGGAAGTGAGGAAGGATGAGCAGGGAGGTAGAGTAGAGGGGGGTTGAGGGGATGACCGAGATCATTTAGTGATTTAGAATTTGTGTATGGAAATGCGCCGAACCAGTCAGAGAAATTGTTTATCAATGTCGGGTGATGGGGATGGAGAGGGAATGGATTAAAGAAACAGGGGGGAGAGTGAAAGAAGATTTAGGGTGTTTGCTCTGCTGCTTCTAAGTGTTTATCAATGTAGCCTCAGAGAGGAAATAGACAGAGAGGGAGAGAGGGTGAGTGGAGGATGTTTGGAGATTGAGGTTTTGGATTTGCTTTTGCCAGGCTGGTGACTCAAATAGTTTATCGATAATGGTGCACATTATCTTTTCCCTCAGCTGTCTTATTTCCATTTGATCTATTTCTACATCCTTTAATCTTCTCTCTGCCAATCTGTGTCTCTTCCTCCCTCCCTCCATCCATCAGCTAAGCCTCAGAACTCGGCCTCCATCGTGACCGTGGTGGCGGGCAGTAAGTCGGTCGTTGTGGCGCGCTGCGAGTCCGTGGACGGCCGCCCCCCTGCCAAGATCTCCTGGGTGACCGCAGTCAATGGCAACGGCACGACGGTTACCAAACCGGGCGCCGACAACACGGTGACGGTGACCAGCGAGTACAGGATGGTCCCCTCCCCCAAAGACAACGGGAAGGACCTGGGCTGCGTGGTGGCTCACAGGACGCAGGTCAAACCAGAGAGCTTCCCCCTGAAGCTGGCAGTGGAATGTAAGACACACACACACACACACACACACACACACACACACACACACACACACACACACACACAGTTTTATTGTGTTGCACTTTTGGAGGTGCCTGTGACCTAAGATTTTCATTGTCATAACTACACTGTAGCTATGCACACATGACCATAAAAGCCTTGAATCCTTCAACANTCTCTCTCAAACACACACACACACACACACACACACACACACACACACACACACACACACACACACACACACACACACACACACACACACTTATTGTTCCATAAATTCCTTTGCAGTCCAGCATGTTCCTTTTGTTATTTCTATTTTATTANCAGCGAGTACAGGATGGTCCCCTCCCCCAAAGACAACGGGAAGGACCTGGGCTGCGTGGTGGCTCACAGGACGCAGGTCAAACCAGAGAGCTTCCCCCTGAAGCTGGCAGTGGAATGTAAGACACACACACACACACACACACACTCTTATTGTTCCATAAATTCCTTTGCAGTCCAGCATGTTCCTTTTGTTATTTCTATTTTATTACATTAGCTTAATTTTGTTTTGTTCAATGGAATCTTACGTGACCTTGACTAACTGTTCTGATTTATCGCTTGCCAAATAGTTTTTCCCCGGACTTGTATACCATTAGTCAAAGAAATAATAACAAGACCTTTGCTAATTACCCTCTTACTACATTTCCATCTACATTTATCAACAAACAAAAAACCAGTCCTGGTCAAAATCCCTGTTTTGTGTTTCATGGTTCTGTCTCTCTAGTATAGCTTAAGAGACTTGTTGAGTATTTAAGCCGTTTTATGATTATAATTTTCCCCTGAATCTGTAACCACACACTTCATGAATGCCTTTGCAGCATGAAACCATGGAGCGATTAATTGAGCAAATTTTTTTTTCTCTTCCCTCCTGCCATTCACCTGTCGTTCCCCCAGACGCCCCTCAGGTGACAATAGTAGGTTACGACAATAATTGGTACGTGGGTCGTACAAATGTGGTGCTCACCTGCCAGGCCACGGGAAACCCCACTCCGCTGACCGCCCAGTGGAAGACGTGAGTATCCACACAATCGTCATTTACATTTTCTTTTCTTTCTTGCGTTTTTGGTTGCTCTTTTGCCCTCGTGTTCCCTTCCTCGCCCTCCACTGTCAGGTCCACAAAGCCGTAATCAGCGCTTTTTATTATTGCCACCACCATCTGATTATGGAGATAGACGTATCATTTCTCATAATGGACTCTGCGACTCGAGATTTAACCCTCGCATAATGAGAAACACATATGACTCCGTCTCTCCCTTATTTCCGTATCATCAGCTATCAACATAACTGAGACAACATTTGAAGACCTGGAAAGTCTGGTGCTGAAAAATGGGACGGACGAGATTTTGGGCTGGGGTCCAGCAGTTTTGATTTTCCTTTGATTTCCCCCGTATTTTCCTCCACTGTGAGGGAAACTGATTGGTTTTGCACTGCTGATCAAGATTACCCGAATTTGATGTCTTTGCACAATACAACACATTTCTGTAAATGTACATCGCTCTCAATGCTTTTATAAAGTCAAACAAACCACAACTCCTTTTCTCAAGTTTCATCCTCCCCTCTTCCCTCTTTTCAATCGTCATGCCGATTTGGCTATTTTACTTGCATCCTTTGATTATTATAACCCTTTATGAACACACAGTTAGAAATACACTACATACAGTTTTGTACATTTAAAGTTTTCAGACTGTGTAAATATGCACATTGAAATTGAATTGTATCTCGTTGCACTGTCATCGCTACTACCTCTGCTTTCACCACTACGGTACGTCCAAACAGCAGCTTTAAAAAAAATCTTCCAACGCTTCTCTGCCCATTCACTTTGAATGGGGTGACGTCACTTTGCCTCGCTTTTCGCCGAACTGCATTGTGGGGAAGCAAAGCGAAGATTTCCATGATTTTCATGATTTTCAGGATTCAAAAGTTGAGCAATGTTCAACTTTTGAAGCTGAGCTGGAAGCGTCAGCCAATCAAATCCCGTTTATGCAAATCTGACAGTACAAGTGCTAGCCAATCAAACCGCGTGCAAGCTGGGAGAGCCAGACCGCAGTTCATTTCCTCATATTCCAAACGAGAAATTACAGTAGCAAATCACCCGGTTCTTTACGACCAGAACTATTTACCGGGATACAAACCGGAGGAACCAGGCATGGGGGGAGGTGGCAGAGACAGTGGGTGAAACTGGTAGGTTTTCGCCCGTTTGGGGAGTTTATATATATATATTGCTCGCTTAAAATCTCCGGTTTTTTTTGCTTTGTATGTCGCATACTTGCCAACCTTTAGACCTCAGAAATCGGGAGCATTTCAAAATGCAAAATTG